TCATCCGCAAGAACCTTGTCAAGAAGTGTCTAGAGCTGTTCGCTGACCTATCAGAAGACAAAGAAAACTACAAGAAATTCTACGAGCACTTCAGCAAAAACTTGAAGCTGGGCATCCACGAGGATACACAGAACAGGAAGAAGGTGGCAGATCTGCTGCGCTACCACAGCTCCACCACGGGGGATGAAATGACCTCCCTCAAGGACTATGTAGCTCGCATGAAGGAGAACCAGAAAGACATCTACTACATCACCGGTGAAAGCAAGGCAGCTGTGGAGAATTCTGCATTCGTTGAGAGAGTCAAGAGAGCCGGGCTGGAGGTCTTGTACATGGTGGAGCCCATTGATGAATATGCCACCCAGCAGCTGAAGGTGAATAGCATCATCTATTTTTGAGATTCTAACTAAGTTACACTGTTGCCAACAATAGTGTTATGTTGTTAGAAGTGTTCAAGAGTCAAAGAAAATGCTGTGCATGTCAAGTTGTCAGCATCTGTATTGGGAATACTCGGACTAGAGTCCACAATATATTTGTCTCATTCAGTACATTGATATTGAAAAAGTATCTTGTCTGATGTTTGTATTGCAGGAGTATGAGGGGAAGAAGCTGGTGTCTGTGACCAAGGAGGGTCTAGAACTACCTCAGACTGATGAAGAGAAGAAGGCTTGGGAGGAGCTGAAGGCCAAGTTTGAACCACTCTGCAAGGTCATGAAGGACATCCTGGACAAGAAGGTGGAGAAGGTGAGGGCCGCGACTTATCTGTGTGTGAAGATACTTTATCATAAAGTATGGTTTCATTATTACACTTGGTTGATTACATCATTCTACAATGCGTGTTGGTTTTGTTGTCTACAGGTTGAGTGCTCCAGGCGTCTGGTCAGTTCCCCCTGCTGTATCGTCACCAGCCAGTATGGCTGGAGTGCCAACATGGAGCGCATCATGAAGGCCCAGGCCCTGCGTGACAACAGCTCCCTTGGCTACATGGCCGCCAAGAAGCACCTGGAGGTCAACCCAGAACACCCAATCATCGACAGTCTGCGGCAGAAGGCGGATGCTGACAAGAACGACAAGTCTGTGAAAGACCTGTGCATGCTGCTGTACGAAACCTCCCTGATGGCGTCAGGCTTCACGCTGGAGGAGCCACAGATCCACGCTGGCCGCATCTACCGCATGATCAAGCTGGGTCTGGGGATCGACGAGGATGTGGCAGAGGTGGAGGAGCAGCTCGCAGACATGCCGCCACTGGAGGGTGATGATGAGGATGATACATCCCGGATGGAGGAGGTTGACTAAGAGGCATAGATCACTAGGCTGATGTGAAACATTCCTGTAGGTTTGTTGTACCATACCATACCAACATTGAGATAATCTCATCAAGGAAAGGAACTATTTATGACACGTTTCACCATGAACTGTTTGGTCCCAGTCAAAATACAAGAAGTAATGGAAGATGCAGGATCATGTTTCATTAATCTGGTAGATGTTCTAAAGTTAAAATCCTCCACCTGTAGGTAGTGTTGTCATTTTTAAGATGTCTGGGTATTAAAGTGGTAGGTATAGATTGTTAGTTGAGTAATGTAGCCCCTTTTGTAACAAAGTGCACTCCAAAGTATGATTCATCAAAGTACTTATAAATCTTTGGCCAAAACTAAAGTATGAAAAAAAT